GGTGGGGTGGGGGCCGGTGAGGCCCCTCCAAGAGTGGGGACAGCACCTGAGGCACTGCGGACACACTGCGTCGGGCCTGGGCCATGTGCTTACTCACGTTGGCTTGTTCACTCACGGTGAGGGCGTGCTCATGTCACCTTGTGTCACAGGTGAGGGTGCTGTGGTTTCACATGAGGCCACAGGGTTGGTAAGTGACAGGTTGGCCCCCCGAGCCCACGACCCCAACTCTGCGAGTTCCCTTGGGCAATGAGCACAGCTTGGTGCCGCCAGCAGTGCGCGAAGAGGAGGCAGGTGCCCAGGACCGCGGGGCCCAGGTGGAGCTTGGCACATCCACACGGCTCACTTGCACACCCTGGCTACGGCGTGAGGGGTGACCAGCAAGCCTGAGGGCCACGGCCCAGGCGACCAGCGCGGCCATCCTGCAGACATGGGAAAGTCTCCTGGGTTCCTGGGTCTTGTTTATGTTAACGCCTAATTCTCCCTAGATTTCCCCAAACACTGCCCGGGCCCCACTCCAGCCCGATACCCTGTCCACGTGCAGGAGCTCCTCCCGCCAGCCTCGCCCCCTGGCCTTGGCCTGGTCTTGCTTAGTTCCACCTCCTGGCCGTCCCTTGTCACGGCTGCGTGGCCGTGACCCAGCCAGGCCATTTGCCACACCGGAGTGGGCCCTTCTCCTGCAAAAGTTTACGTAGGAACACAGTCATGGAGGAAAGCGGGGAAAACAGCTCTTCCACTCCCAGACAGTTCTCTGAGATGGACTCTCCTCGGAAAGCAACATAGTTTCTTCCCAGAAACTGTTACAACTTGGACGACATCGAAGTCCCCTACAATGTACCGGCTGAAGGTGACAGTGACAATAAAGCGACATGCTGATGTGGATGGACCTTCCCATGGCACATTCACAAGTTGATGTGACTTGTCACATTCTAAACAATCCCAGGTCAGAGGAAGGGGAACACCTTGAAACTTAAAGATAGTTCAAGTTTTAGGACAGCGAGAAAGAACAATATGCCTCGAGAATAATAGAATTCATGCTCCCAGCGGTGGCGCAGACACAAAATAGAGACAGGTTAACAAAGGCCTTCCGCAGAGTGAGGATGACAGCCTCGCGGTGGCTCTGAGGTGAAGCTCAGGTCGGCCAGGCTATCTTGAGGCCAGACTCCCAGAGGACACTGCTCTGCCCCACACGCCATTCCCTGGCACCAGCGTCCAGGAGAAGCTGCACCTGTGCAGCCCGGTCTGACTCAGGCAGCTTTTCCAGGGGCCTCTCCTTGGAAGGCTCTTAGGCACCTGGGCCCCGTGGGCAGGAGGCGTCAACCCTATGAATGGCTCAACTCAAAGTTTCTAACAGGGAACCGAGACACCTGAGCCACCCAGAAGACATACAAGCCACACAGACCCTGCTGCCCTTTGTGCCCAGGCAGAGCCATCTGTGAGAGCTGGGACATACAGTGGCATTCGTAAGACACTTTAGCTGGTGTGACGCATGATGGCAGCTTTCTAAGCGAACCTTAAAGCCTAGCTACCTGTAAAGGCAAACTCTACCTCTCATCCATCGAAGTGCTGAAAGGCTGCCTTTCTCAGGTGAGGGATTGTGGTTGCATGATCTAGAAAAGCCGCCCAAATAACTGGAGTCATACTTAGCACTAGAAGGTCCACATGCCAGGACATTCTAGATGAGATGGTGACAACTAGTCTTCAAACACAAGCCTAGGTTAAAACAATGCATACCTGAAGTGGAGAGAATTTACAGAAATTCCCTAGAAGCCTTAAAAGGTAAGACCTTTATAGAAAATTCTACACACAAATTTATATAATGAAAAATAGAACCCCCTTATCAACAAAACATCTTTTGAAACAAATAATTATACCTGGCTTATGTAATTATGACAGTTAATTGTAAGCCAAGTTGACTAGATCACACAGGGCCCAGTCAGTTGGCTGAATGTTATTTCCGGGTGTCTGTGAGGGTTTCTAGGTGAAACTCACGTGACTCGGCTGCCCTACCCAACAAGAGTGGGGCCAAACCTGGTACGCGGGGGCCAGCTGGGACCCAAGTGGAGGGGAATCTGAGCTGGGCCAGCGGCCCTCCCACCTGTCATCCTGATTGTCGGGCCCTCACAGTTGAAGTGGACTACACCGGCGCCTCCGCAGCCTTAGGCCTGCAGAGGGCAGATCACGGCGCGACTCAGCCTAGTCACATGAGCCAATCCCTCGTAATAAATCTGTCTCTACAAACTCTACTGGCTCTGTTTCTCTAGAGAACCCAAGAATTAATAAAGACGAGAAACGTGTGTTTTGAATGGGACAGTATAGTTTTCACTTGTGACAGTAAGAAAAATACAGGTACGATCTTGCCGTTGTGTCCCTAGTGCCCGTGACAGTATGTATCTACGAGGGGTTTAAGAACCGTGATTAAATTCTTCACAAGGGTCAAAAAGTAAAGCCTCACTGTCGTTAGGCCACAAGGAAAATCGTAGCCCGGGCTGTGCTGCACAAACATATTCGACGTCAAGAAAACTGTTCCAACATCACATACGATGGACTGAAATGTATTTCACAGTTCTGAAACAAACACTGCTTTAGCTCTACCAAAACTCAGGTCTCGATGTTAACATTCCTAAAGTGTTTGGAAAAATCATCCTGATTTCTGGCTAAAGCCCACTAAAAGGGCTATTTGCTTTCATATTTTTCTTCAATTCTGGTTGATTTGAAGATGTTTCCAAAACGGCCAGTCCATACTGCTTTCAGGATCCCACGAATGAGAAACCTTAAGATATTCTACTTACATCCATTAATGTCTTAATAAAACCAAGATGATTTAAAGGTAAAACCAGGCAGTGTAAAGGTACCCACCCTTCCAGCAAGCTGAGTGGGCTGAATAAACCCCAAAGCATCCCCTTTAGAGGACAAGCTGACCATCATAAGATGATGGCACTGATCAAAAAGTCAACTTGTCCAGCTAAATTTCTTGCTCATAAATCAAAGGAAAAACTGACATGACCTGTTTATTTTTTTCATCCTTAAAATATAAAAATAGTTCTGGAAAACAGAAAAGTATGGGAAGAATGAAAAAAAATGAAAAGAAAAAGAAATTCCACTTCCCAGATCTGTCCTGCTGAGAGGACACAAGTTCTAAGAAAACAAGTATTTCAGGATTTATTTTTAATAAGACGCATCTGTTCGACAGCACACAGGTCAGTCCTTCCTGAGGGGAATGGTCTCTTCCCTGATGCCCTCCTTGGTCACAATGCAGACCTTGAGCGCATCCCCGGTGTACACATCCCGCTCGGCAGCAGAGATGAAGACGTCCTTCACAAGCCGCATGGCTCTGTCCAAAGACAGCGGGATGTGCTCTACGTTCTGCATGTTCTTAAAGCCGACCTGGTGGGACAGGAGACATGGGTGAGGAGCCCGGACAGCACGTGGAGGTCCAGGTCCCCTGTGCCCTGACACGTCTGGGAATTCAGAACGAATACATCACACAACTTTAAAACACCCCTCAACAACCATTCACGAGACAGCGCAGGACCTGGACAGGTGAAGCGACGTAAGGGGGAGCCGTGAGGAGAATGTGCTGAACTGGGAAGGAAAGGCCGGCAGAGGCCCAGGCAGCCATGGCCAAACCCACGGGAGGGAGGAGGCTTCAGCAAGAAGGGCAGCAGCCTGGGGGTGCGCTGGAGGACAGCCCGGAGGGACAGGGTGGTGACATTCCAGACGCAGCACTTCGTGAGGAGTGACGGGGGATGAGGTGCACGAGCAACTGTGTGTAACATGCTTCAAAGAAGCAAAGAGGAGCAATGAGGGGAGCAAACTGGGAGGCAGAAGGGATGTCAGGACAGAAAGTCCGTCATCCAGGCCAGCTGCCACGCAGGTCTGAATTCGGCCAGCAGAAATGGAAAAGATGACAAATGAAAACGCACTTGGAAGTTAGAATACGAAATTAGGTGACAGAGAAACAGTGCGTATGGGCGGAAGGTGTTTTCATGATCCTCGGGTGGAGATGGCAAGAGGACTGACCGCTGCCAGCACTGGGGACTTCGAAGTCGGAGGTGCAGGAGGGAGCCAAAGTCACAGCAGGAGACAGGCCGGCGGGGGCCCCATACAGACCCGCCACGATTTACCAGAGAGCCCTCCGTCCCTGTTCTCATGAGCCAGCGAGGAGAGCTCAGGCAGGGGAGGGGTGTCACCACGGCCCGCAGTGTCCTTACCTGGTTGTCGAGCAGGGGCTGCAGCATGGCGCTTGCAGAGCCCCCGGCCTTGAAGGAGTCTCTCTGGTAGGACCCCACCGGGTCAAAGCTGTACACGGCTCCCTTCCCTTAAAGAGGAAACAGTCTCCGTGAGGGTGCATCCCGACCACCACCCAGAACCGCGGCAAACATGACCCTGGTCAAAGCGAGATACACAGCGGACTGCCCACGCAGCTAAGATTTCAGCTAAACTTCGGGAAGCAGCACATCCACCGACGGGTGGCGACACTCAGCAGGCAATGTGCCCCTCTGCTCCCCTCAGAGACCTGCCCGCCCACTCTCGTCTCCACCACAGTGTCTGCCACCAGATTTCACTCTCTCCATGCTAATGTCACCAATCACCACCCGGGAATGTGGTTTCACGGGCACAGTGGTTAATGGTCCCGCCCTAAGTTCTGTACCGAACTCCAACTGAAACAATCCTGGTAAATGAACGCGTGCTCTGCTGGTGCAGACCCGAGACCCCCAGGTGCTACACATGAGCTGTCACGGGGGAAACGTACCGCGCACCTTTAAACTGGTAGTAAGCGCACTCTAGAGCATCGGCGCCATAGAAAACCGATTTAATAAAGGAGAAATTCCAGAAAAACACAAACACGATGCACAAGGTTAGTTTTGCCTAAAACATAACCACCTGCTTTGTACCACCCGGGTTAAGCAGCGTGACTTTTTTTTATAAGCAAATGAGGGTCTGAGCCCCACCCCCCCATCCTAGCACGAGGGTTAGGGAACTGGGAGCGGACGGTCGGGGCTCCTGGTCTCTGCTAAGGCACCGCCCTCATGCCTTTTCTGAAGAGCAACCTGGTGGCAGCACCCGCCAACGTACAAGTGCACACCCGAGGCCCCAGCAAGAATGTCACTCGTAGCACAGGGTGGACCTCGCTTCACTGCGCTTCGCAGCTGCTGCGTTTTTTCACAACTGGAAGGCAAGACCCTCCGCCAGCAAAGATTGTGACTTGTTTTTCTGCGATACTCGCTTTACTGAGGTGGTATGGGAGCAAAACCGCAGTTTCTCTGAGGTCCGCCCGTATAAACACGCAAAGCAGCGTGGACAAGATCACATCTGTATCTCTTCAAAGAGCAAACACCTTTAGGGAACCTCAAATCCACACACCGAAAATGGTATGTCTACACAGTGATGTACAGCCTAGGAGGGAGCCAGGACTGGGGACCTGTCCACAGGACAATGTGAAACGAAGAGCTCTGTGATATGAATGATACACTCCTGTTATTGTTTGAAAGCATAAAAAAATAGTATACACATCTGTGTAAGCACCAAAAAAGTATGGACAGATAAACAGCAAACTAGTTCATTATTTTTGTGGGACTGGGCGCAGGAAAAGAATCACTTTGCATGTTAAGTGTGTCACAAAATACACCTCACTGTGATTTTTTAAAAGGGCTTTTAAAAGCGGCTGTGTCCTGCGTATGAGAAGTCATGGACCATCTCCGACATATGACTTAAAGTGACGTAACTCATTTTCACAGCATGCTGTACCCGAACTGGAGCTCGCCAGTGATCATCCCAGAGACGATAGGGACAATCTTCTTGCCACCCAAAGACAAATGCCACCATTAGTCATGTTTTTTTTTTTTCCCATTGCGGAATTATGCAGACAGAATTCTCTGCTGAGAAGGCCGCCGCTGTGGTCACCCAGCGAACCTGGGGAACCGTTGTTGCCGGAGGCAAGCTTGGGACAAGAGATGAGATCACGGTGGGCAGCACCCTAATTTCAGCACACAAAGAAAGGATAGCAGTATTAAGCCCCAAGAACAGTGTGTCCCTCGTGATGCTGACAGGCCACAACCAAAATGAGGCCCGAAAGCTTTACTGCAGCGTAAATCTCAGAAAAACACACACAAGTGATTTGAGGAAAGAAGCAGTGGACCATCCCCAAGACCAGAGCTCCAAAGGTCCCCTTGGAGAGCAAAGGGGGCTGCACCGTCAGCACAGAACGGCGCGAATCTCGACTGTGGATATAAATTGCTTTCCCCGGTTCAAATAATGCCCCCCCACCCAAACCATAACAATTTCAATGTAAAAAATGAAATAAAATCAGGTTAAGTCCTGGAGACAAATACAGGTGAGCTTTAAACAGGGGAGGCCTTTCTCACAGAGCAGGACACTCAAGGCCATAAGAGACTGACAGATTTGACTATGTAATTCAAACTTCTGTGTAGCTAGACACCCCACAATGTACGAGACGAAGAACATTCCCGGCAGGCATCGACCACACACAGTGCAGAGGTTGGCACAGCTGGATGGTGTTCCTCCAAATCAGTAAGAAAAAGGCTAAGCTGCAAATAAAGCAATGAGCAAAGGTAACACGTAGGTCAGTCTCCAAAGAAGAAAAGGTCAACAAGCACGAAAAGATGCCCAACTCCAACAAACACAACACATACATAAAAAAGATAAAATACTTCTGGGGCAAAGACCTCTGAAACGCATAAGTGCGGACGCTGGTAGAGCTGTGCCCCAGGGACTCGTGGCCCTGCTGCTGGGGTGAGAGGTGCCAGTACAGCCTTCCCAAGGGCCGGCCAGCAACAGCATCGAAACGCAAGGTATGGAGTCTCTGACTCAGCAACTCAAATGCTAGGAGTTTTTTCCAGGGCGATCAGCATGATTCAAGAAATGAACAAAATTGTACGTATAAGGGCATTTACCATATTGTTTATAGTAAGGAACCTCGAAACAACCTAAATGCCTTTAAAGGACTGGGGTGCAACTGCACCCTAGATGTGTCAGGCATGGAAGTATGAGGCATTTTTTATTCACTAGCATAGAACTATTTCTGTGACAATATAGCCAACATATAGTGACAGGAAAATGACACACTACGTCCTATCCATGCCGTGCACAAGCTGGCATAAATACCAAGGTATTGCAAAGGAGCGGGTTTCCGAGCGGTCAGCCTAACAGCAATTTTCTCGAGGAACAGAGTTTGAGATGATGACCACTTTCATCTTTGTGTCTTCTAGAACTATTTGAAACTTCGACAAGCATTACTGTTTTCACTACAGGAAAACTGAAGCCATAATTAATTTGGGGGAAAATTTTTTAAGACAACGTGATAGTACTGGAGAGTTAAAGGCACCGAGGTCAGAGCAGAAGCAGCTGCTGACCACCCAGTGTCCTGACGGTATCCCTAGGGTGAACTGCTCTCCAAGTACCCGCCTCCACCCAGGAAAACAGGGAACAGAAGTCTCTTCAAGACATCAGCAGAGGCCCTGGACTTGGGGTGGACACGGTAAAGGGCAGGAACGAAAACGGAAGCATTAAATGGAAAGCTGACGTGCCATGCCAATGCAGACCTTTTTCAGTCAGACCTGGGAGTCTCGCTCTCAATATGAACGGACAGCTAAAAAATCAACAGAAATTTGAAGGAACCCTCCAACGTGGAAGACAGGCCGAAATCAGCCAAAATGGAAAAAGCAATCTGACGAAGCACGGAGCGCAAGAAAACGTCAAAGGAAGGACAAAAGATCTAACGAGGATAGGACGACACCGAATAGACGAAGGCTGGCTGTGGAGAAGGTGGAGGAAGAGGACGTGATAAATGAGAAAGGACCCCAAGACAAGGAACTTCGGAACACCAGGGTTCAAAAAAGATCCTGAAAGCAAGGTCTCAAAAAGGCTGACCTGACCTCTTTCTCCAGAAATCTGCAGGGAGATGCACGTCGCCAGCGCGAGGGAGCGGACCAAGAACACGGAGACCACTGAGGGAGCTGACGACGGCGCGGGGCAGGAATAGTTCTATGCAGAGGACCTTTCCCACACATGAGCCGCGCTAACGAATAGACATTAATTTAAAGAGCAATCGAAGCAAACCACGAAAGGTTGGAAAAAGACGGTCAGAAATGCCCAAGACCGCCACCAACACGAAGAACACTGTCACAGGAAATCGAAGAACAGAGCTTGAAGTCAAACAGATCGAAACTCAAAGCCCAGCCCCGCCGGCCAGCAGACGCGCGCTTTCCCAAATCAGCCTCCCTGACTCTCAAACTCAAAGGGCCTGGTCCGGCCTGCTGCAACGCAATGGCAGCTGTTACTAATGTTGCTAAAACTGACTTGACTTATCTGACATTCAAGTCAGCCATGATTTAAGTCAGGAAGCACCAGAAGCGCCGTGCTGGGGTAGGAAAGCTAATCTGTGGCTAGAAGCTAATACCTATTAACCATTTCTGTGCCTTACATTTTCTTAGTTTTCAAGTAAGGTTAAAAGTCTTGAAAGAAATGGTGTCAACCTAATTTGTCTACATCTACACCATGGGAGGTGAAAGATCGGAACGCTCCCAGAAGCCATACATGGGGGTAGCAGCTGAGAGAGAAGGACAGCAAAGAAAAAGCCCGTGGGACAGAAAAGGGTGCAAAAACCAAAGAAGGAGCTGAGAGGAGCCTGACTTCCCACCCAGAAGGTTCCCTCTCAGTAGACAGGCTTACTTCAGTGACAGCGCCCTCACCCAGACCCTTCCGTAACTTCTTTTCACAAAGGACTATCTCTACATGGTGGCACAGAGCTGTCCTGGGAGACCGGTTTTAGGAAGCAACCAGAAGTCAACACGAATCAGATGTGAAGAGCATCGGTGCCCCAGTAACACAAAAACAGGACAGAGATGTCAAGTAACAAGACGGATTTCCTTAGTGGTCTAACTCTGACAGGAAATCAAAGAGGTTTCAAAAATGCTCAGAAAACACCAGTAGAAATGCATGCATGTCTTCTAAGACATCACTTTTTAAAAACTTTTTGACGTCATATTTGTTAAAAAACTGTTCTTACTTAGGTAAAGCTTCTCCAGGCCAGATTTTTGTAATTTTAAAATGCTAATTACCTACTACTGAACTCACGACCCTGAGAACACCGTAATAACCGACGGCCCGCCGTTCACTGGTAGGCCTTTCACACGCCACGTGCTGCGTGTCTTTGGATCATCGCTGATCTCCTTTTTAGCTTCAGTCTGTTCATTGATTTAATTATCAGAAAATGCAACTGTTGGGCGAGATGGACTTTATGGCTCTTTTCGACTCTAAGTGGAAACACACGCATCTAAGAAGTGCCACCACCTTTGCTTCCCAGAAAGGAGGGACCTACCTTCCTCGTCAAGCCCCCCGATGATGTTGTACACGTAGTACGGGAAGAAGCGCCGAGAGTAGAGGATGGTGGACAGCATCGCGGCAATGGCGCCGGTTGTCATGGCCTTGTTATTGGAGTGCTTGTACATCTGCAGTCGTAACAGAAATGACAGGCATGGAGAGGCAGAACACGTTACGGACTAGAACAACGAAGAGCAAAGTGAAAACAGACGCACGCCTCGGTGGAAGAGGAGAGGAGACCTGTCTCTTTCATGATCAGAGCCCACAATGTAACTAAGATAAAGTAACATCTGATCATATCCTATCGTTGGGAAGGCTACAGACGTTTCTAAGGGAAAGAACGCTAAGTCTGTGCTCGTGTGTAGAAACTTTCCCACGTCATCCTGTAGACTGCAGAACAAACGCACACAAACGGGCGTACGAGGGGACCTACGGAAGAGGTTTCAGCCCGGCTCTCCGCTCTGCACCTAGACCAGGGTCAGCAAACTGTAGCCTATGGGCCAAACCCAGCCACCATCTGTTTCTGTAAATGAAGTCTTGTTGGAATATAGTCTCTTTTATTCATTGCATATTGTCCACATCTTGCTTTTGCCTTTCAACAGCAGAGTCAAGTAGCTGTCACAGACTAAACGGCCGATAAAAGCTGAAAATATTTACTATTTGAGTCATTTATACAGATAAGGTTTGCCGGCCCCGACCAGTCCCGGGTGGTAAGTCCCTCCCTCTGCAGAGCACGTGAACAGAGACACAGGGCAGCAATCTTACTCTGGGCGACCCTAGGGCAGGGCAGTGGCTTTGCTCTCTAGAGCATCTGCAGTGGAAAACATAGCAGCAACCCAGGAATTTACAGTGATTTCCAATCCTTGATTTATGCCACCACTGGGAACCCTAACTCATTCTACAAAAATTGCAAACAGAATGAATTTGAGTTCATCAATTTGTCAGCCATATGGCAAATATCTCTAAAGAGAAACCTAAATACTGCAAAATCATAGTGATATTAAAATTACCGAAGAAGAAAAATGAGCTACGAGTATGGATAAATTGGTGTCCAGAATTTTTTTTAAGGCGAAAGTTATAAAAAAAATTCATTTCATTTCAAAACTAAGCACCATTTATTCACCTCACCATTCATTTATCAAAGAGAAATTTCCAGAAGAGTTGTGCTTTAAGTTGAAATCATTGTTCTGTGTTTCATTTTAACAACAGTTCTCCATATCATGTTTGTTTTTGTCCTCCAAGTTCCATTTATAAAATATGCATGAGAAGTCATATACATGTCAACAAATGTAAGTTCCTGTACCTTTCAAGGTAAGTAAAAGTTTTAAACAAGTATCAACAACTGATAAATACTGAATGAAATTATTTCTACACATGCAGAAAGCACGTGTCAGCTGAATAAATGCATGCCGCACTCCAGCGACTGAGACATCGCCCGTCATCACTGAGTGACAATCTCAGGTAGGCCAAACAGAGCTGCTCACTCCTGCTAACATTCCATGTGCCACATGGCTTTACTACTTAAAAGTGATGACAGATAGCCTACAAAATTAAGTTAGAAAATGAAGGATATACAGTATTTTTGATACTGTAAATATCATCGACAGATATGAAAATTGCACTAGGCTACATTTTTTTGAGAAACAAATCTACATTTCTGAGTACTGACAAAGGCCGACTGCAAACTAGGATGAGTGTGTATTTACTGGTTATTGTCAACAGATAAAATCCTTTCTAATCCAGTCCAAATCACTCCTACCCTATCCTCCTTGAAACTACTGGAAGCAGATACGCTTAACAAAACCCAGACCCTGCTTTTATCCAGACTCAGTATCCCTTTGTTCTTCATGCCTCCCCATCTTGAACAGTGTCAGACCCTTAAGAAGTGTAAAACAGGTTAGTCTGTCTTATTCTCTCACTTCTTCCTAAAAGTTCCCCTTTCCTCTCTCCTCCCCACATCAATCCCATTGTCTTCTTCCTCAGCTGGCTACAACTAAGGCCTGTGATGCTGTTTGGCCAACACGCTTTAGGGTGTGCTTGGCTAACTCCTGACTTCCGCTCCTGTTCCCGTGTACGCGTCCTTTCCACCAAGAGTGCAGTGCGTCCAGTGGAAAGCATGCCAGCTGATGGCATTCCAAACTATGCTCCTGTCTCAAAAGCTGGCCTTCTCCACAGGAAGTGATTAGTTCTGCTTTTAGGGAAGAGTTTCTTCAAAAGAACCCCTCCCCGGCCACCTTGAAAAGCATAGAGAACCTTTTCCAGTGCAGAGAGATGACACGTGGGAGGGGCTGCAGTTTTACACTAGGCTACTCTAATGACGCTGCACTCACAGTACCGTTTCATTTCTCGGCTAGGTTAGTTCCATAGCTATTCTGAGCAGGAGTCACGCTGTATGCTTAAAAGAATCTAATGAATTGTTATTAATGTTCAATAGTGTAAACACGTAAAAGGCACCTACCTTTAGTCTTGCTTCAATAATCTTTGTCAGGGTAAGACAATCTCCATGAAAACCACTGCATCCAATGACTGTTTTGTCTGTCCTATAAAAAGTTAGTTAGATAATAAGGCAAAGTGTGTCTTGGGCAACTTTGAAAAATGAAACTATAAAATTATGACTAAAGAAAACATGCATGAATTTTTTATAACCTTGGGTCGAGGGTAGCTGATACAACCCAATGTCCACTCAGAAAAGTTTCATAAATTTGACTACATAAAAATTAAATTTCTGTAGATAAAAATACAGATGATGCTTAAAAAAAAAAAAAAACTAAGAAAATATATTTGTAGTACATATGACCAAAAGCCTAATTTGAATTTTCTTTGTCTACAAAGGGCTCCTGGGAATATGAGAAACATTAACAGCGCAATGGATCACGGGTGTAACAGGGGCATGGTGACTGTAGTTCATGACACTGGATTGCATATTCAAAAGTTGCTAAGAGAGCAGATCTTAAAAATTCTCAAGAAAAAATTTTTTTGTAACTATGCAATGGTGACAGGTATTAACTAGATATACTGTGGTGATTATTTTGCAATATATACAAATATGGAATCATATTGTGTACCTGAAACTAATGTTATATGTTAATTATACCTCAATAAAAAAAAAAACCTGACAATGGAAGGATAAGTAAAACATAAGAACATCATATAAAAAGAGACACAAGTTACCACAAACATATGAAAAGAGCCTCTACGTCACTCAGAAATCCAAATCTAAACAAGAGACAATTTCAGCCAATTATGCAGGCTAACGATGCCTAATGCTGGTGAGCTTGTAGAAGGTAGGTACTCTCAGACCCTGGGAGAGAGTATACTTTGATCTAACTTTTTAGAAGGACCATTTGGTGGTATTTAGTATGTTAATGCACATCACTTTCACTCAATAATTCAATGGCTAAAATCCATCCTGTGAATACAGTCACATAAGTTTGCAAAGATATGCTCTAGGCATAAGGATACTTATATAAGTATACATGTTATTTTAATGGCTCTCCAAAACAAAATAAATAAAAACCCTAAATGTCCACCAGATTAAATTTTGGTACCTCTATACAAGATAAATGATGTCTCAAAAATTTGTTCCTAAATCTATGTATCAATCTATAAAGAAAGTTAAGCCAATCTTGTCAAAAAGTAAATGTAGAGTCTCAAGCAGGTGGGAAAGAGGCAGGCTTGGCTCCAGGTTGGCCCCAAAGGGCATGGAATTAGGGGAATATAAGCAGCTGCAACTGTACGTGCAATCTAGAGGTAAAGATAGGTGATAGGGACACAGGAAGTTGTTAATGCTGTATTTGCCTCTACACTTAAAGCATGTCATAAAAAGAAAAAAAAGAATAGGTATTCACTTCAGCAATGTACACGCTCAAGTAAAACATTACAAGGATGAGCCGGACTCTACACAAGATGGTATCAATAAAGTTATGTTTTAAGATTTTATTTACAACAATAACTACTTTCAAATGGTAAAAGTTACATTTTAGGTAGCATAGGTGCACTATTTCCTAACAAAAATGCAAGCTAAGCTCCAAACAGGCAATCTAAAAACTCATGAAACACATTGTTCATAGTTAAATCTTGTGCAGCTTTAATAAATTATCACAAGGCACTGGGAAATGTGTCCTTAGAAACACTTACTTACAATTTATAACATTTGGGGCTGTCCCGGGTGTGAATTGAAAACCCTTCACTCAATCGAGTATCAGAAGCAACAATTGAAAAATCTTCTCCAGCAATTGCCAAGACAGTACTGAGGAAAAAAGGAAGACAAAAAATTAGTGAATTCTTCTTTGTGGTAACAAAGTCTCTCCCAGCAGAAGACTGCTCCACAGCATACACAGGCAACCCCAGAGGTATGTGGGTTTGGTCCCAGGCCACCACCATAAAGCAAGTATTGCAATACATAAAGCAAGTCGCACAGTTTTTGGTTTCCCAATGCATATCGCAGTTACATTTACACCGCCCTGTGGTAAGTATGCAATAGCATCATGTCCAAAACATTTACATAACTTAATGTAAAAATGTTTTATTGCTAATAAATGCTAACCGTCATCTGAGTCTGTTGGAAAAATGGCAGCCACAGACCTGCTCCGATGCAGGGCTGCCACAAACCTTCAATCTGTGAAGCACAATGATGTACAATAAAATAAGGTCTGCCCATGTTGGCATAACGCCCACTGGACGTGAGCAAGAGCAGGGTTCAGACAGAAAAGGAAGGGTCGGGGGAAAAGATCCCTTGGCTAAAAGTTATCTGGAAAAATATAAGGGCACCAAAAAACACAAACCTACACCAGAGCAAAGGCTCCTTAGCAGGCAGTTTGCACAAGAGCTACTGAATTATCATCATTATCAAAAGATTAAATTCCTACTTTGTACGAGGTGCCAATATTCCAAAGGCCCTGCCCTGCCCTGCCCATGGATATCAAGTGTGAACAGTGGTACCACAACACAGAAGGTATTCAAGCTCATAAGAGGAGCTTAGTGGTTTTCATTTCTATATCCAAGCACTTAGATGATATCTAGCACTCAGCAGACACCCATATACCTGTCGTAAAATGAATAAATGAAAAACAGCCTTTTTGCCTTGTGGCTGCGTGGCTCTTGATGGAAGTTAGCTATGGAGGCCTAGGGCATGAATTCCAAAGGCAGCCTGTCCCAGTCCGATTTTGACTCTCCCACTTAGCAGGTATGAGACTGCGAGTGAGCTGCTTAATTTCTTAAGGCCTCAATGTCCTCATACGTAGATTGGAGATAATAGTAGTAGCTGCCTTATGAGGCTGTTACGAGATTAAATGAGTGAGTAACTGTAAAGCCCTTACACTAGTGCCTGAAACATACTGGTCCTCCAGTAAGTGTTGGCTATGATCGCTGTGGCATACATATGAGGCAGTTCGCTGCAATCACTGAGAACCTAGGCTCTGGAGTTACCTGAGACCTGATCTTGCCACAAAAGAGCCCCAGGTTCATTTGTAAAAATAGGGTTAATACCATCTAACATTCAGTTATCATGACGATTAAAAAAGATAACGTCTTGCAATTTACAAAATGCTTGATTATCCTCCAAACTATAAATAAAAAAGATAAAATCTCTATTTAAGAAGTCGAGAATACCCAAGGGCCGTATCGCGCTTTAGAGGCAGAGACAAGGCTAAAATCAAACTTTCCATCCTTTTTCCAACCCAATCCAAAAACCTGCATTAAAATGTCAACTCCATAAGGCTTGATTAAGTAACCTGGTTATCTTAACCATCTGTTTGTTCGAATTGTGTGTGTATGCTTTAATGTACAAAGTTTGGTTGGTAAACTATAACTATCGCTTCAATTTACATCTCTTTGTTAAGAGTCCTAAATAAAGCATATTTCTATAATCCCGCTTCTTTTAGTGCATTCTCAAAGTATCACTGAAGATAAAGCTGGTAACTAAAAAAGAAGACAACTTAAATGTAATATGCAAGAACATTTCAAAAGGCCCTCTTCTGAGTAGTTTTTCCTTGAACTTAAGCTAAAGTACTAATCTATGAAAATAAGCGTGGCCTACTAATTCTTTCTATTTAAAACCACAAGAAACGATTAAGTTGTTCGATCAGATCTTTTAGCTACAAACACAACTATGCACCTAAGAACATGACCGATCAATCCTAACTTTTTAACTTCAGATGCTAAATTTGCCCCCTCGCCTGTTGGCCTGAGAAACATGTCGACCGTAAGCAAAGACTAGGTCTGAGCGCAAAGCTCTTCCCGAGCAGCGGCCCGGTTTCAGTTTCTATCTGCTGTTTCACTGTAGCAGAGAGCGAGCGGGCTATGCACACCTGACCGTCCACAGCAAGACCCCGGAGACCGGCCGGAGGGGAAAGAATAACGCGAGCCACCCACGGAGACGGGGGGCTGCGGGGCGACCCCGAGAGCTTGAGCAGGGACGCGTGGGGTGGGGGGCGCGGCGCAATCTGGGTCTCACCCTCCGTTGAAGGCGTAGGGCGAAAAGCGCAGCTGCACAGGACCCGCGGCGCTGTGAGGCTCCATCGCCGGGTCTCTGCCCGGGCCGGCGTACGCGGCTGAGGAGGACAACATCCCGCGGCACCCGCTCCTGCTGTCTCACGGCGAGATGGCGGCCCCGACCGGAAGTCGCGACACTTCCGGCTGCTCTGCGGCGCTCCCTCGGGCCGCTCCGGCTGGCACAAGTACCCGGCTCCTGGGGGTCCGCGCCGCAGCCTGGCCTCGAGTAGCCGGGCCCTCCCTATTACGAGAAGCTTACAGGGATGTTAAGGCTTTCTTTCCTAAGAAAACATTCGAATTCACTGCTGATGGGCAAAAATTTTAAAGCCTGACCATACAAAAAAACTGGCAAAACTATGGCGCAACGGAAAGTCAAATCTTCTTTTGGACTGTCACTTGGTACAGGCATATTTGGAAAAGGAGCTGGCATCACCTAGCAAAGTTCAAGCTGTACACACCTTAGGTCCCAGCAATTCAACTCCTTGGTATGCACTCTAGCCAGAAGACATGTGCACGAATGTTCCTAATAGCATTGTTCCTAATAGCCGCAAACCGAATTGAGCCAAATGAGACCATAAAGGGCAGAATGGATAAACTAATTGAAGGATATATCACAGCAAAGAAAATTAACCGATGTCAGCCATAAGGATGAGTCTTATAACGTTGACCAAAAGAATATTACCTTAGGAGTACACAGTGAATAGCAAGAACTTGCTTGGCTGAGGACTGGGGTTCTGGTGCTGGCAATACTCGGATTCTTGATTTATAACTATCTGTTAATTTGTACGTGTTCACTTCTGGATATTAATTTTCAATTCATAAAATTTTACAATTTTTAAAATGTTATATTTAAGAAGTATGCAAGCAATTGGATAATATATTATGGACTACCTGATATATACATACGATTCTGAAACTAGGAAAGATTTTTGAAAGTACTTGTTTAAAACCTTTCCCATGTTTTGCTGCAAACAAACAAAAAGGATAAAACAAAGGATTTTCTTTGATGGTTATTGACAGAGAAGTATTGTACTTATTCAGGTACTGTCCTGGATATAAGAAATGTATATAACATTTCCTGTCTTTAAGGGGCTCAAAACCTGATTATATTAAAATACAAAGGAAGCAAAATAACAAGCAGTACGAAGGGGTTCCGAACAAGTCTCCCCAGCATGTGCCACTTTGGCATGAGGATTATTTTGAGGGGCCCAAGAGACTCAGGAAAAACGTTTTACTCCTCCCTTAACTACCTAAAAGAATTTAGATAGAGGGCCTGGTCCAGGAAGAGAGCTATCACCAGAGAGAGCTGCAGAGTATGAGCCAGCTGTGCTGGGCTGGGGAAGCCTGGCAGGGCCTGTTTGTTCAAAGTCCTCTCTGTGTCTCTCCGTGACATGGCAAACATTTGTTTACCAAACATTTGCTCTTCCTATCTTCCTTCTCTTTGAAGCCCCAGACCCCTATCCTCATCTCAGGGAGCCTCTTATTGATTTTGTGGGACTCCCATATGTAGCACACAGCAAAATTTATCTCCTGTTAATCTGTCTTACGTCAATTTAATGATAGACCAGCCAAAAGAATCTAAAGGGTAGAGGAATAATTCTCCTCCCCTACAAGTACGATATATGATTTTGTCTAAATGAACAATAGGAGACACGAAGGTACTCTGGAGCCCAAACAAGCATCAGGAAGCAAAGAAACAACTACGAAAAGTCTCCGGGACAAATGTGAAAAGAGACCATAAGATGGTGTTAACAGAATTAAAATACAATTGAATCTGTAAACCAGGCTGTGTTTTTCTTCTTTCTATGTGTTCGAGAGTAGTTAGCACGCATAGTGCTTACCAGGTGCCAGGCACTGTTAACGCATTTCCTTAAACCATCTCGCAATACCCTTAGAGGGCTAGGTCTGTTACCAGTCCATTCTACAAGATGAGAAACTGAGGCCAAGAGCCTGGTGGTTAGCAGGAGGTCCCACAGACAGCCCGCCTAGAAAGTCAACATTTAAAAACCAATGCCTCGCCTACCGCCAGCAACGAGTAATTAGAAAATGCTCTGGCCAGGAGGCCACGCCCCGGAAGTCTCTACGGGCCCCGCCCCTCCCACCCTCCAACCGATTCTCCAAGGAAACGCAGGAAGTGCCGGAGCGCCCACACCGCCCATGGCCGCCGCTCCGGCGCGGACGGCTCACTGAAGCCCAGGGCCGAACTGGCGGAAGTGACATTATAAACGCGCGCCGGTAGTTCAGTAGGGTCGGGAAGGGTCGCCGTGGCGGGCGCCTGGCTCGCCGGCGGCTTAACTTCGTTTTCGCGGACGGATAACGTTCTCTGCAGCGGCTCAAGGTAACAGCCCTTTTCGCGTCTGCTCTTCTCCGAGGGCGGTGCAGGGGCGACCCCCGCTGCAGGCCCCGGGCCGATGGCGGGGGGAGGCGCAGAGTGGACGCGCAGGCCGCGCGCGGAACCGTCCTCCCGCCCGAGCCGCCGCCGCCCCGGCCGGTACCGGCCGCTCTCCAGCGGTCTCCTTCCCGTCGTGCGGGCGTGGGGTGCGGGGCGCCGGGCGGGGCCCGGGGCAGGACAGGCCCACACGCACCTGTCCTGCTGTCCGTTCCCCCGCGACGTTGGAAGGCAAAGGACTACATCCTCTTCGTTTTTATATTTGCAGTAGTTCTATTGTTAAAGGATAAGAGTGTCAAAAAAGTATAATTTTTTGTGTATCTCTGACATTTTCTGAAAATTTTTACTTTTGGTCTGTTTTTCAGTAATGAGTATGTAGGCTATATAGTGTTTGGGGTCCTTTGTCTTATCAAAGTGACTGTCAGATTCCTTCAGGAAACATCTGAGTGTTTGCTCTGAATCAGCACATGCTTGAAGTGCATGTGGGTTTTTGACTTTTAACGTAGCTAAGACCTGTAAGAGCTATGTTAGTCTATGTGAATACCTTATTAGATATTAAATCGAAATTTAATAATAGCACACGTTTATCCTTGCTTCTATATGATAGCTAGATGCAGTTTGTGATGTGTTAGTTAATCCTATTTCTTTCAATTAGTTCTCACAGCAGCCCTGAGCAAGTTAGGGATCCGTTCAAACTAAACTGAACAAAAGGTCTTTCAGCAGTTGCTTGGTTCTTTTGTCTAAAAGTAACTTCACATGTTTAGCCAGTGATAGTAATTTAGGGAAAACCAGATACAGGCACACTTTATATTTATGCATTTTAAAGAGGTAAAGTTATTACATTTATAAAAATGTGGTGTTCTATTTGTTTTTGTGCCTGTACAGCTATCACAGTGTTTTATTAAAGTAGCAGCTCAATAAATTATCATACTAAAGTGTATTGGACCCAGTTAAATATTTCTTGAACTTAACACCCAAGACATTGAGGATAGAAAACTGATTGGAATATTTCAGAACCTAAACTTGATCTAATAGTGCAGTGTATACAGTGCTTAACAAATATTTCTACTCAGGTATGACAATTTGCTTAGGAATTTGTTTTCTCCAGATATTTTTCTCCAAAAGTTTTCGGTGCTGATTATGACACCTTTATTTTGAACACTGTGACTATGAGTATTTAAACAGGTAACAAAACAATTTTTCTGTTGGCAATTTTGCATGCAGTCACAGGAAACAGAAGGAATAAGATTTCACTATTATAGGCAAAAAGTGTATTCTGAAATAGCTTCATTGTTTATTTTGGGGGGAGGTTTGTGTAACCATGAAACTGGTTTAAATGATTGCACAGTTTACTTGTATCCTTACATTAAACTTTAAACCATTTCCAAAGCAGCATCCCTGTTTCTTGGCGTGCCTGAAGATAACGGAGAGAGTTGAGGACGTCGCTAAGGAGTGTGTGCTGGGGATGCTGTAGGAGGAGACTGAACGCTGAGGTGAATTCCAGTCCAGAGGGTTCTGGTTCGCCTAGAAGAGCGTGAACATCATGGATCAGAACAGCAGCCTGCCACCTTACGCTCAGGGCCTGGCGTCGCCTCAGGTAAACAGTCTGCGCTGTTAGAGACAGTGTGAAGGAGAAGGGAGGGAACGCAATCCACTGTTGAAATAGATTCGTATTTTTTAAGCCTCCCTTATTTTGTTGAGAAGGCCTATAAGGCTTTGAATAGGCATGATAGTGATTAATTTGGGGAGATTACTTGGAAGGTAAAAATATGTGTTTGTAAAAACTTATTATCTTGATAAACACTCATAAAAGTGTTTCAAGTAATTATAGGGTCTTTGATTTTGAAAGTGACTCTCACAAAATTATTTTCTAGTTTTGTTTTTATGTTGAAGGTTCCAAATAACATATTTGCTTTCTAAAGTTTTAAATAACCTCTGTTGAAGTATAATTCACAAACAATGAAAACACCCATTTAAGTGTACGTTTTGATAATTATATACCCCTATATAAGCGAACATTTCAGTTACCCAAAAAACCCTTCCTGCCCCTTTGCAGTTGCTCCCCCAGCCCCAGGCAGCTGCCGATCCCGCTTTCCAGGGCTAAGGATAGTTTTGCCTGGTCTGGGATTTCATACAGATGGAGTAATAATCAGTAGGTGCTTTTTCGTGTCTGTCTTTTTTGCCCAACATAACCTTCGGACATCTGCAGTTCCTTCTCATAGCCACGTTGTGCTCCATTGTGTGGATGCACCACACTTTTCAGCCCACCCTCCAGTTGTCGACATTAGGGTGATTCCACATTGGGGTTGCTGTGACTGGAGGTGCTGTAATCGTTTGTGTGCAGGCTTTGCGTGCGCCGTGTCTGCATTTCTCTTGGGGGAATACGTAGGAGTGGGGTTGCTAGGTCTTACGGTGAGTGTCTGTTTGACTTTGCGCGGGTGTATTCTCGGGCTCCCCGGCAGCGCGTGAGAGCTCCAGCTGCTCCACACCCTTACTCACTCTGAGAGTTTTCACTTTTAGCTACTCTAATGGTTACTTAGCAGTGCGTGTAGTTTTAACTTGCATTTTCCCGACGACTTATGATCTTAAGCATCTTGTCAAGTGCTTATTGGCCATCGATGTATTCTCATTTGTAAAATGTTCTTCACATCTGCCCATTTTTTATTGGCTTATTCATATTTTATTGAGTTTTTACTGGTCGTTATGTACAGCAGTCCCCGTCTCCACAGGGAAACACATCCAGGACCCCCAGGGGTGCCTGTAACCACAGATAGTACCGAACCCCAAAGGTACTGTGCTATTTCCTATATGCGCACACCTATGATAAAGTTTAATTTTTAAATTAGGCACAGTAAAAGATTAACAACAACTAATAATAAAATAGAACAATTATAACAATACACTGTAATAAAAATTAGGTGAGTGTGATCTCTCAAAATATCTCATTGTGCTGCCTGACAGTGTGAATCCCTGGACAAAGGGATGATTCGCATCCCGTGTGGGCTGGAGCGGGGCGTGAGAGTTCATCACGCCACGCAGAGCTGCGCACAATGTAACTGCAGAATTGTTTATTCCTGGAATTTTCCATTTACTATTTTCGGCCCGTGGTTGGCCATGGGTAACTGAAGCCGTAGAATGCAAAACTGCAGACAAGCGGGTAACTGTGCTCTGGGTCCTTAATTTTTTCTGAAGTCTGTTTATCAGTTTTACTTCATGGTTAGTGCTTTTGTGTCCCGTCTAAGAAATCTTTGCCTACCTAAAGCCTTAGGTATTTCTCCTCAGACGTTGGGCTTTTACATGTGTGTCTGTGATCAATTTTGAGTTCATTTTCATATATGGTGTAAAAGAAGGCACACCTTTCAAAACCTTAGTCTTTTTAAACTAGTGCGGCCTGCGTTTTTTTCCAGCCAGTGTATTCAGTGGAGTAAGTGGTAGATGCCCTAGAATAATGCCCGCACTTAGGGCTCTGGTATGGATTTGCTCCTCTTGTCATGTTCTTTCTGCCACTATGTTGGTGAAACAGTTTAACACAAATATCTGAGATGTTTCTGGTTTATACTTTCTGCCAAATAAAGTGGTGGAAGTAGGAAAGGTTGTGGCTCTTTTTTAGGTCTTGCCCCGTTGGAAAACCGGACCCTCCATGCAGCAGTGTTGGGTGTGATTGTAAGAGGTTCGCACAGATGAACTCTGCGAGCTTCACGGACCCCGTGGGGGGGGGGGTGTTGGAGGCTTGGGCTGGGGGTCGGCGGGGGGAGGGGGGCACATACTTGTGGTCTTGGCTGATCTGCTAACAGGAAGTCTTTTATTCTTGGTGTCAGCGTTCTCGTCCTTAATGTGGGGAAGGGAGCATCTGCTTTCCCTCTCCTGAAGGGCCGCTGTAAGGCTCAGAGAAATCAACAAACGCGACCATGTCTGGAAGAGTTTAGAAGCATTGTAGAAAAGTAAATCGATATTATTCTGATAAATGCATTGGATTTTGTTGAGTTCAACTTTTGGGAGAGCAAATGATCAGCCTCGTTGATTAGTTGTCATTATCATTGCCAACACCACAGTGTTTTCTGTGTGTCTGTCATCGTGTTGGATGCTTTAAAGCGGGTATCTTTAGGGTAAACATAATTTTTCATCCAAGCTGAGACAGATACTTTGAGAGTGAAACAGGGCACTACCCAGATGGTATGCTAGGATAATAGTTTTAAAAACGGCATATGGTCACTCTGCATGTCTTACTTATTCCTTATAACAATCTTAGAACATTATTACCCCCCAGATGTGCCTGAATGGTCAAGCAACTTTCTCAGGCTCTCAGATGTCATAAGTAGCAGAGTTGGATCTCATATCCAGGCCCAGTTTCAGACCCTAAGCTCTTACTTACTACTTACGGGAAAGAAGAAAGGGATGTGCATGAGAACAGCAAGTTCCTCCCTACTAATGCTTAGGAATCCCGTTTATGCTCGGAAGGTGTCTCTCTTTGCACTTCTCACTTGTTCTTTTACCAGGCGAGTCCTGTGAACACTCGGCATCAGCCAGCCTAACCTGTGTTCCCCTGACCTTCCGCAGGGCGCCATGACTCCCGGGATCCCCATCTTCAGTCCGATGATGCCTTATGGCACGGGCCTGACGCCGCAGCCCATTCAGAACACCAATAGTCTGTCTATTTTGGAGGAGCAGCAAAGGCAGCAGCAGCAGCAGCAGCAGCAGCAGCAACAGCAACAGCAGCAGCAGCAGCAGCAGCAGCAGCAGCAGCAGGCAGCCGTGACATCAGTGACGGCAGCTGTCCAGCAGTCAACAGCCCAGCAGGCGACACCGGGGGCTTCGGGCCAGACACCGCAGCTCTTCCACTCACAGACGCTCACCACTGCCCCTTTGCCGGGTACCACACCCCTGTACCCCTCCCCTGTGACCCCCATGACTCCCATCACGCCTGCCACACCAGCCTCGGAGAGCTCTGGGATTGTGCCACAGCTGCAGTGAGTACTTGGGTCTGTCCTCTGCCTCGCCCAGGGGCCCTTGGTGCTGTGCCCTGGGAGCTGAGGGCCGATTTTTCTAGGGTGCGTGCGTCAAAGCTTGCTCCATCTGTCACAGCTATCTTAGTGAGTCAGGACCCTCAGTAAAAAGCTCTCCTACCCTTTAGAAGTTCGGTAGCTTGTGTTTATGTGCTTGAACCAATGAAGTCCAGTTTGTATTCGTTGCTGTTGTCATAGACATTTCCCTGTAGCTGGTTTGTAGGTCACACCCTGGTCTTCCCCCCGGTGATGTTTGGGGCTTCGGGAAGATGTCTTACTCAGGCACAGAGTTAGTATAGTCCATAGTGGCCTGGTTCCCCTTCATTGGTTATTAAGAGGCTGCACAGAAATCCTTGAGGGGCTGTGTCCTTCACACAGTTGAGGATGGCTGTTCTTGCTCTAAACGGATTTTTCTCCCTAGATGAAGCGGGTCTTATATGTAACAGGATAGGGTGGTGGTGGGTGATGATATAGCCCTACAGTGGAATATTATTTAGCTGTAAAAAGGAAGTTCTGCAGTATGCTACGACATGAGTGGACTTGAGGACATTACGCAAAGTGAAGTAGCCAGTTTCAGAGACACAAGTGCTGTGTGAGTCCACTCACATGAGGCACGTAGAGTGGTGGGATCAGAGACAAAGCAGAGTGCTGGGGCCAGGGGCTGGGGAGGGGCAGTCGGGACTAGAGTTTCACTTTTACAAGGTGAAGTAGTTTCGGGCGTGGGTGGCAGTGACGGTTGCGCAACAGTGCGCGTGTGTTGAATAGTGCTGAAATGTGCACTTGAAGTTGGTTAAAATGGTACATTTTATGTTATGTGTATTTTCACACAATTGTTTAGAAAGAGAAGAACGCATTTAACGATTATACGACTAAATTTGTGACACCAGATTTGGTGGACCAAAATTTACTTGATTCAGTTCATAAGCAAGCAGATGTTACAGACAGGCGAGCATGTGAAGTCGATTAGAAGGACAGAGGGTGTAGAGATGAAAGCACTGAGTCAGTCGTCCTAAGTGGCCTTGTGGCTGTGTATTAAAGAAGGCAGCCATCCTCTTGACAACCAGATCGTGAGCCACCAAGTTTCCAGAAGTGTTGCATGTTGACCGTGCAAGAAAGAACCAGAAGCAGCAGTGAGCTGCGGCCAGCTCGAGACGCATTTGCCGTCCGGGGTCAGTACTCGCAGGGCAGCGACGGTCCATGTCCAGACCTGATGGCCTGTGGGCATTGTCCACTTTCACGAGCAGGACAATACAGAATGGAAACTTCGGTTTGCTTTGTTGAAATTTTTATTAAAGGTTCTAAAAAATTTGTTTTCCACTATACTTTCTTTTTTTAAGTTATTCATGAAATGATGTAAGAATACTGAAAAAAAAAAGGCGGGGGGCGGGGGTCTGTTGGGCCTGGATAATAAATGGTTCTGTCTGGTTTTCTTGATTTTCTGAGGGTTAATCAGAAGAAAAAAGCAGAATTTTTCCTTTGTCAAAGGTATTGAATTCTTGTTCTTCCAAAAGGTACTCATTTCGAGAGGACCGAGAGAGTCATGCCTGCCTCTTTCCTTTATCAACAGCGGCTTTAGGAGTGGGAGTGATGGGTGGAAATTCGGGGCTCTGGACTAAGCGAAGGGCTGAAGCCCTGGAGGGGGATGGACTGCAGCGCTTAGGAGCCTGTGTGTCCTAAGCAAGTCGCCCAATCTGAAAATAGTACTGCCTCACAGTGCATTTTAAGTCTTCAGTCATGATTTATGTAAAACGCCCACCATGGCATGTGGTACTTGTTAAATGCTTAATAAATGTCAACAATTTATTAAATGTCTAATTAAAAAAATCAAGTTAAAATTGAACTGAAATCTGAAAGAACCAGATTTCTAGATAAATATTTAACACTGCATCTGTAAAAGTTAAATAATGTTTTCTTTTCAAATTTCTTGCAGAAATATTGTATCCACAGTGAATCTTGGTTGTAAACTTGACCTAAAGACCATTGCACTTCGTGCCCGAAATGCTGAATATAATCCCAAGGTCTGAGCAATTTTAATGTATTTCAAATTGTAATAGTACAATAAGTTACTTTTAAAGGTTCCTAAGTCAAAAAGTTTGTGTCATGTTATACATTAATATTGTTTCTAAAAGTAGAGTGGAAATTTGTAATCTGGTATATTAAGTCCCTCTGGAGGTGGCAAAGGTTAACCAACAAAATGTATAGTTATAGAAGCTTGTCATGGGCAGCAGCAAATATAAGGTAGAAACAGAGGTGCTGGTGTTTATTAAGGATGTGATTAAAGAAAAAAAATTTTGCAGGCACTGCTTATCTTGTTGGAATGTGTGAAAGGACACACAGATCTTGGCCCAGCTCACTCAGTTGCCACATGCTTGCTCCGCTCCCCGTGTGAAGGCTTGCATGCTCCGTGAGAAGCGGGGCACAGGGCAGACATGTTGATAGCTCTGTATATACCAGGTCCTTCTTACTACTGGGACGTTCTTTGTTGTTGGCTAGTTCTAAGACATCGGCAGTCTGGCGCGACCTCACTAACGATTGTCTCTGACCGTTTCAGCGGTTTGCTGCTGTGATCATGAGAATTAGAGAGCCCCGGACCACAGCCCTAATCTTCAGTTCTGGGAAGATGGTGTGCACGGGCGCCAAGAGGTGGGTGTGAACAGTCCGTCCTCCTGGTGTGCGACTCGTGTTGCGGTTGTTAGGGTGAAACTTAAATTAAATCTTATTGAAATGGTCGGTTCTGATCACTTTAGACATCAGTGGTTTCATTTTGCTAAAATCAGGCATGAATTTTGGACGCGCCATTGCTTAATCCATGCCATTCAGGTGCATTTTATGTGGACTTGATAGTATGTGACATCGAAACTGTTAAGAAGGGTCCCTTTATGCCAGAAACTTTATGCATAGCACAGATTCACCCCTCATTGGAAAAAAAGTGGTTGTGAGTCACAGAACTTTAGAGCTGATGCTTTGGGAGTGTGGGGCCTCGTGGGTTCTGGCAGTGTGGCAGCCCCACGTGCGGTCACAGATGCCTGCCGCCCATCATCGAGCAGTGCATGAGGTATGCAGGTCTGGAGGAATGCACCTTCTCAGCAGGCGCCCTGCCTGGATCCGCGTCTGCTTGGAGTGAGCCTGTCCGAGGTTAGCGTTCGGGGCCCTGGCTAGTGTAACCCTGTCTAACACGTGAGGGGAAGGTTGGTAACATAACTCCACGAAGCTTTTACAAATGAAGTGAATAGAACTTTTAAAAATACAAGATGATCGAAATGCACTGGGCGATGTTAACACATAGAGGGGCTGCTTATTTTGACCTTTGAACGTGTCTTTCAATGAAGGGAAGGGTGTTGGGGTGGACACCCTGGCTCTGGTCTCAGGGTTTTCAGAAGGCAAGATGTGGGTCTGTCCGTGCTTCCACATGGCTGCATTTAGGGCTCTGTTCGCCTGTTCTCCTCCAGCTGGGACACCAAAACTCCTGGTTTATCGACAATGCGAGATGTCCATTTCTTCCCCAGACAGGCTTTTCTTGTAGCCCCCAGCCTTCTTCGTCCACAGCAGTTCCTGCAGACTGAATGATGCCTATCTGTTTAGGTCGTGATTTGTTCAAGATAAGAAACCATAAATAAATTTATTTTCCTTTTAAAAGAAAGTACTGCATTCTTAACCCTTGCACTTCAGAGTCTCTTGTTTGATGGTTTTATATCTTTTCCGCTTTTTTGCATCAGTCCTTCTTTGCTCAGTCACAGTTGTAACCAACAAATAGTCGCTGGAATGGACAGAGAGAGACTTGGCGTGAAAGGGGATAGAATTAGTCTGTGTGTTCTTTAAGTTCAAATCTCATCAGTATCTTCCTATCAAAATGAAGCCTGTTAGTTTTCATCTCAGTAGGAATTTATGGGCTAAAACAGAATAATGCTAGTATACTCTACATCTGTAAAATCTAGGGCATCAGTAATTTGAATTGAAAAGGTGATCATTTGAGTAGGCTTTCAGTTTTCTGCCAAGGACACAGGAAGACTTTTCAATGAAATAGTTCATGTCTGCTGATCTTTTCTCTTATTGGGAAGGGGTGTGATATTTATCCTTTTTTTAAGTAACTTTCCAAACTTGGACTGTTAATGACTTATTCATCTGAATGACTAATTTAGCTGGCTTTGAGTATGAAGTATCTCACTTTTTCCTTTCCCCAGCGAAGAGCAGTCCCGACTAGCAGCCAGAAAGTATGCCAGGGTTGTGCAGAAGTTGGGTTTCCCAGCCAAGTTCTTGGACTTCAAGATTCAGAACATGGTGGGGAGCTGCGACGTGAAGTTCCCGATAAGGTTGGAAGGCCTGGTGCTGACCCACCAGCAGTTC